ACTTTGGGGATTAAGGGGTTGCAGGAATTAAGCAGAGCAGGGGAGGACCAAGGGTCTTCTTGGAGAGGTCTCATCTATAGGTACACCATGAGTCAAGATTGACTGGAAGGCAGTTAACAAGAACAAGGCTTTTAATGGGTAAGCAGGAGATCTTGGAACCCTAGAATCCTAAAGTTGGAAGAGACCTTCAAAAGCCATCCAGTCCAACGCCATTCTGCCATGGAGGAAGACACCATCCAAGCACTCCTGACAGATGGCCATCCAGCCTCTGTTTAAAAACCTCCAAAGAAGGAGGCTCCCCCTCACCGCATTCCAAGGGATGTTGTATTTATTAACTTTTAAAACTTTTGTATCTTTCAAAAATGGTTTTACAGTATACCATTTTATGGAGTGATTTGAACTGTTTCTAAATTTTATTGTGAAGCTTTGTATAGATCCCCTGTTGGCCACGGAAATGCACTGGCTGAACTTGGGCAAGTCACACTTTCTCAGCCTCAGAAGGCGGCCATGGCAAAAGCCCTCTGAGCAACGCTTGCTGAGAAAATCCCACCATAGGTTTGCCTCAGGGTTGCCATAAGTCAACACAACAACAATCATTTTTGGGAGACATTGTGGTCCCCTGCAGTAGGAGCAGAATGTGGTCCCTTAGACCTGCCACAGTTGCTCCCTTCTGGGGCAGAGAAACCATTGCTCTGATCGTTCAGAGAATGATCTTTCAAAGAACCATTCATATTGAAAGTTGTCAGAAATGAATCATCGGATAGTTCAGGAAAAGGGTGGAGGGAAGGCAGGAAGGCGAGTTCGAGAATGGCTCTCTCCCCTAACAAAAATAAAGCCAGAAAACCCACAAGCATCCCAGTGATGTGGGAGGCCTGCACTGCAGGGGTGGCATAGCGCTAACCCCATCTGATGGATCGGTTGGCTCATGGCACTGAATGAGCCAGATGGAGTGTGTCTGTATCTGTGTCTGTGTGTGTGTTGGCTGACACACTTGGAAAGGAAAATGGGGCAGGAGTTGAACGGCTTCCTGAGAAGAGATTCGATTCCGCTCCACCCTGGTACCAGCTGGGAGATTGTTGGAGGCACAGAACAGGAATTCGAATCTGGGATGGGTGGGTGCCCTGCAGCGTGTGGGTGTGATGGATTGTACAAAACCATTGTGTACCCAGCAGCAGAGGCGGTGGGGAGGTCAAAACGTTGAAGTGGTTATTGGGGAAGAACCAGCCTAAGGTGGTGCATTGAGTGCTGGACTGCGACCCTGGAGACCAGAGTTCAATTCTCAGCTCGGCTGTGAAACCCACTGGGTTACCTTGGGCAAGTCACACTCTCTCAGCCTCACAAGAATGATAGAATCACAGAATCATAGAGTTGGAAGAGACCACAAGGGCCATCCAGTCCAACCCCCTGCCATGCAGGAACTCCCAATCAAAGCATCCCCGACAGATGGCCATCCAGCCGCTGCTTAAAGACCTCCAAGGAAGAAGACTCCACTACTCTCCGAGGGAGCGTGTTCCACTGTCGAACAGCCCTTACTGTCAGGAAGTTCCTCCTAATGTTGAGGTGGAATCTCTTTTCTTGCAGCTTGCATCCATGCAATGGCAAGTCTCTTCTGAAGAAACTTGCCAAGAAAACCCTGTGATAGGTTTGCCGTAGGGTAGCCATAAGTCGAAAATGAATCATAAAATCATAGAGTTGGAAGAGACCCCAAGGGCCATCCAATTCAGCCCTCTGCCATGCAGGAATTCTCAATCAAAGCATCCCCAACAAATGGCCATCCAGCCTTTGTTTAAAAACCTCCAAAGAAGGAGACTCCATAACTCTCCGAGGGACTATCCTCCGTTGTTGAAGAGCTCTTACTGTCAGGAAGTTCTTCCTAATGTTCAGATGGAATCTCTTTTCCTGTAGCTTATAATAATAATAATAATAATAATAATAATAATAATAATAATAATAATAATAAAGTTTTATTTCTAAGCCACACCTCTGCTCAGCAATCGGGGTGGCGTACAGCATAATTTAAAAACAAAAGACAATGTAAAATTCCTATATCCCACACCCTAATCCTCCCACCCCTTAAAACTAAATTAAATTATAATAGCAGAATTATACCGATTCTTAAAAACATAATAAAAACAAAACAAATAAAAACAAAGTAAACCATTTGGGCATGTCCATGTAGTATGGGAGGTTAAGGGGTGTAAGGTAACCTCCGCTAGAGCTGGGGGATTATTCCGGGAAAACCTGCCGGAAGAGATCCGTCTTTACTGCTTTCTTGAAAGCAGCAAGGGTAGTAATAAGACGGATCTCATCTGGCAGACCGTTCCATAGCTTGCATCCATTGTTCTGGATCCTATTCTCTGGAGCAGCAGAAAACAAGCTTCCTCCATCCTCAATATGAAGGGACACGCACATCATTATTTGGGGAGACCCAGCATGGCATAGTGCTTTGAATGTTAAACTACGACTCTGGAGACCGGGATTCCACTTCCACCCCAGTTCCACCTTCCAAGATGGAGTCCATCTACCTGGACTATGGTCTTCCTTTTTTCCTAGCTCAGTTCCACCCTTTTCCTGAACTGGAAAACCTATTTGGGCAAGTCACATGCTCTCAGCCTCAGAGGAAGACAATGGCAAACCTCCTCTGAACAAATCATGCCAAGGAAGCCCCATGATAGTAAGTTGGAAACGACTTGAAGGCACAACACAACAACAACAAAGTTATTTGGGAACTTGGAAAAGCCTATTCCAACATCTCTACTCAAGCCATCCACTT